TTGCTTTGGAAGTATGATGTTACATGCTACTGTTAGCATAGGGTTATATCATTTGCAATTGTGATATCATAAAACTGAAGTATGTAGTATGATTAGAAATACTGCCCAAGGAAAAATTAATGTTATATGCATAAAATTGTTATTTGTGTACGGAGTATATGAGGTGCAATTAGGATTTCATAAAAATGAATAATTCTAAATTTCCAACTGTGATATATTTCTCTGTTTCGGAAAATAGCTTTTCTATTTTTCAACTACATTTTTTTAATATTCACTTTTACATTTAAATTTTAGAATTCTTATGTACTTCTAAATGATAACATGTTACTAATTGTGTTTATCCGTATTTATTTACTACTTTTTCGTATAATATTTGTTGATGATAATATTCGGATGTCTTAAATCAGAAATATAATTAAAAAAGAAAGTAAAATCGGAGTTCAAGTTAAAGAACAATCGTTACCCGTATCTTTTTAGGTAACATTTACCCGTATAATATATACTTTGACTATAGGTGGTAACATATGACTAATGGTGTTTATCACTATTTGGGATAACATTTATTGATGATAGTATTCAGATTTTTCAGATCGAAATAGACGTAAAAAATTAAACTAGAATTGAAGTTGAAGAGCAATTAGGGCTTTCTAGATCTACTTCAATTCCAGTTTAAATCGTAAATGTTACTTCTAGAAAGATTAATAATTAATCAATGTGTAGTTAAAGAGTTGTAAACTTAACCAACTAGGGCTTTCTATACGTTACTTTAGAGACATATGGTTATAAGACTTAAAAGTAGAAAATATTATCTAATGAAAATATTTTAAAAAGAATAATTAAAAGTAGAGTTTCAATATCAATACAACTACATTAGGATTTTCTTCAATTACAATTGTATTCATTTTTTGTTTCTATTAGTGGGATGTACGTTTGTATTCAACGCATGGCGTTGAAGTTGACAAAGAATAAGAGACTCACACGTGTGGGAGGAACATCTTACACTTTAGAAATTTAAAACACTGCCAAGTGGATTTTGAAGATTGGAGATGAGATCTTAGAGGACGGTGACGATGGAGAAACAATGGTGTGACATCCCCGAATAATTTATTGCTCCTATGATGGATGGTCCTATTGAAACTATTGGTAAGATCACCTATCCCGATCTTGAAATGCATTGATGAACGCATTTTAGGGGAATTCTTGTGCCAAGCACAGATGAAAATCGACAAGATCAACGATTATATGTTGGGACTAACTCCAGGTGAGGTAAAGACATCCTTGAGCTCAGATTCGGCATCTTCTTCGGACTCAGACAGTGCACTCCTTCAAGAGATCCACTCTCCAGAATTTCTCAATACCATTAAATGCTCTGGTGTACCAAGCTCTAAGGTGAAGCTTAAAGTGGGTGCACCTGTGATGCTAATAAGGAATATCGATCATTCTTCGGAATTGTGTAATGCAACTCGCCTTATCATCACTAAACCCGGTACGCATATTCTAGAAGCTCAGATGATGTAAGGAATAAATGCATGACAAAAGTTCCTTATTGCGAAACTTAGCTTGAATCCATCTGACCTAAAGTTGTCATTCACATTTCAGCGTAGGCAATCTCTTTGATGGTTAATCACATGGTGACCATCAACAAAATTCAGGGATATATAATTTTTGAAGAGGGTTGATTTTTTCTTACGTCGTTTGGTTTTCACCCATGGGCAACTTTACGTCGCGATCTCAAGAATAACGTCATCGTGTGGATCGAAGATCGAAATTTATTGTATGTGATGATAACGGAAAACCGACCAAGAAGACTTAAATGTTTTTTACAAGTTGATAATTCTTTGAATTTTTTTTTAATCTTCACTTACTTTCTTAAAAATAGTTTATTCGTTGTTCTATCTTTATGACATCATTTCTATATATTTGCAAATGATTTTTGCTTACTAATTGCATCCCGTGCGAAGCACGGGTGAAAAATCTAGTAGTGGTAATACAGTATGACTTCGGTGATAGGGGCGGGTATTACACATGGAATTATAAACGTACATCCAAATACACTGTTGAACATAAGTATACAATACTCACGTTTTGTATACCATATGGATCCATCGTGTATTCAACTTAAAATAGTATTAGTATATGACTAATACTATCATTACAAATTTACCCTTAATTTATCTAAACATACGGGTATTACACTGTGGGACTATATGGTGTCATACATGAAATTTACTCAGTGTATACAAACTGAGTAAATGACAATATTACCTAACTAATTACATCGTATGTTTTGAGATCCAAATATTTTCACCATAAATCATTTGGAACTCATCCCTATGTACTGCATCATTAAAAATGGGTTACAATTTTTGAAGATGTCCATCGACTATACAAGTATTATGGGTGATTAGTAAAATTATTGTATTAGCAACCCGTTTAATGCAATAATAAAGGATACCATATGGATTTACAAATGGTAAGATCTAATGATCGGGTTCGAAATGAGAATTGCGTAATTTCACAACCTATAAAATTGTAATGGTCATATTATCTATGTCAACCCATTGCAACGGATACATATGTAATACCAATATATCTGATCAAACTAAAATGGATGTTATATTGGATACATCCCCGAGGAAATCGTATTACATGTACAATATGGATATTTGTACCTCAACAAGTGTATATGAGGTGTTCCCAAATTGGATTAAAATCACGGACATTGGACATTAGATATCCCCATCGTCGTATTCTGAGCTAGAAAGACAACGAAATACAGAGTTTAATACGGAGCAATCCATACAAATTGGATCAAACAATTAGCTAAGTACAAATATCTGTAAAATCCACACATAATACGATGGATGCCACTCATTTTGAATACAAATGAGTCTACTTTCCATATGGCTGTTAAATTACCCACGATATTGTATATACCATTATATAGGTAAACGACAATTGGACTAGATAAATTGATTCTACTTTTCTACATACTAGCCTAATAACAGTGAACGGTGATGTATAATGAATAGCCATAGGTGTATACAATGGTGAAAAAATAAACCCATAGTAAAATATGAAGTCATGGGATAATACTATCACAATTAATAAAACCCGATAACTTATACACATTGTCGACCATTACCTGTATAGGATAATTATAATTTATGTATTAAACCATATTCAGAATCATATGTTATCATACTATAAATTAGGCCCCTATTCGACTTGTGCAATATGAATGTACCTTTCCCCGTGTAATTCCCAACCCTAATTAACCCATCTAAATTTATTATTGTGGTACAATAAAGAATTGTATATAAAAACTGTAAACATCTTGGAATACCCATTTTTATCCCCGTATTACATTCTCAAGTAACAATCCAGTTTTATAAATGGCTTTTAGGCTATGTGATACCCAAAACATAATATTATACTGGGATCACATAAATGATTATACATCGATATTATACGTATTTACAACGTAAAAAACGTAATCAGATCTTATTAGACTTGCGGTATACTTATAAATCATAGGGAATATATGACTAAATTAGGGATCATATTGACAGTTGGATTATCCATAGAAAACCTAACATCGAAGTGATGAATAGGCTTACATTTATATGGTATGCAATTATTACAGTCGAAGTGGTAAATCTATGTTACAGAATTCATATATTAGGTTACCAGATGGGTTTTCTCATATAATTGTGTATCCCGAGACATATCATTTTTTTCTCAAATACGACTTGTATTTCATGTTGCAAATACGACTTGTATTCGGATCACAAGTCCGAATACATACGACATTGAACCAAAATACTCATTGCAACCTAATTAATGTTGCAATGGGTGTATATCATACCATACGATATGTCCTGTTTGAAAATCATACGTGGTAATTTGAATACAAAGCCAATTGTTAAACCGAACGATACCAGTCCCTAGTGTCACGATAATGACCTATTTAACACATTATAGTACACTGGTAGACTGACAAGGTATATAACCACTTACGATATATTAGAATACTAACACGATCGTACATCTAATAATGTGATCTCTATAATATGTACATAGTCAATAGTAATTGATCTTACATGTTAATAAATGAAGTATCTCAATTGTAATCATATTGTCACGTCGATTAAATTAGTCAAAACTATGTGATCTCACTGGTATAATTCTCATGACCTATGTATTAGTCGGATAATACACCCGACTACCATAATACTCACCATAATGTGTTTAATAGTATTCACCTATGAAGTATTATGGTCTACGATCTCATTAGTTACACTAATAATTTGGACTCGGTCATTGTATCAATATTTCGGATTTGTAGTGGAATAATACTCTAGTACTAGTATTCCACCCGTGCGTTGCACGGGGTGTAAAATACTTATATTATAAACATCAAGAGAATATAGTTTATCAAGAGAATGAGTAAGCATCAGTAAATATGTAATAAAAAATATGCAAAGTTTAATAAGCACACAAGCTACAAATTATTGAAAACTTCTTTGTACACAACATTTTTTGCTGTTTTTTTCTTATTTCCCTCGTCATCACATATCACGAACTTCAAGCCAGACGGACTTGTCACCCTCGAAACTGCAACATATAACTGTCCATGTGTAAAAACAGGACGTCGTAGAAAAACACCCACATTTTCTAAAGATTGTCCTTGACTCTTGTTCATCGTCATCGCATAGCTAACCATCAAGGGGAATTGCCTACGCATAAATGTGAAAGGGAGCCTCACATCTGATGGGGTTAAACTAATCCTGGGAATAAGAAACTTCTCACCTGCATTAGTTCCAGACATCATCTGTGCCTCAATAATATGTTCACCAAGTTTTGTCACTAAAAGTCGAGTACCATTACACAAACCGGCCGAGTGATCTATATTCCTCATGAGCATCACCGGTACACCAACTTTTAGCTTCAACTCGTGACTTGGAACACCAGAACATTTTATTCCGTTAAGGAACTCTGGAGAATGGATTTCTTGAAGGAGCTCACTGTCTGAGGTAGAGGAACACGCTGAATCAGAACTGAAATAGGTCTTTTCCTCTGAGTTGTTCTGCAGCAACATGAAATCATTGATCCTGTCTACCTCATCAATTGTCGGTGCAAGAATCGCTCTCCCTTCAAGATATGAGATGTTGTTCATGTTCTTCAAAAAGTCTGGATAAGTAGTGTTGACAATAGATTCAATGGGATCAGACATTACTGGAACATGAAAATTTTCTGGTATATCAATTTCTGCTTCGCCATCATCGCCCTCTCCCAGAACACCATCACCGATTTGCAGTATCCAATCGGCAAAAAGCTTCAAAATACTCGGATTGGCCAATTCATTTGTGAAGTTCTTGAGTCTCATGTTTTTTGTTAACTTCAACACCGTACAATACTGCCACAAATGTGATGCATTCAAAGATGCTTGAACAATATCCTGCCTTGTGCCCTTAGGAATGACAGGCAACACTTGTCTAAAGTCTCCACCAAAAACAATTGTTTTTCCACCAAATGGTAATTTTGGATTTCCATCATGACAGCAAGAAAGTATATCTCTCATACTTCTATCTAGAGCTTCAAAGCAATGCCTGTTGATATTTATATAAAAAATATAACGATAATACATTAGATTTAGTTATTTCAAAAATATTGCTTTTTAAAAAATTGATTTAAATAAATTGCAACAATATAGTGTCGTGGGTTCGTGGTAACTAAAGTCTAAAAATTGAATATGTTAACATGACTAAATAAAAAATATGTTATAGTTTATGACGTTTTTGGTGCATTTTTTTAAAAAATTTATGAATGAAAATTTAATGTTAGATAACTAATATCAAGAATTGGAAGAATAAGATAATCTGGACCAAATAATTCTACTAATAATTGTACTTATAATAGTAGTTTAAGAAGAAGTTCATGATGTTGATGATGATAAAAAACAATATTAATAACCAAACTAATAATATTACATATAATAAAAATATGACTACTACTTTGAACTTTAATAAAATTGCTTTGCAATTTAATGGAATAGATAGTAATTAAGTTTGTTGTGGGCAAATCATACCTATGTATCATAGGAGCTTCATCCCAGATAATCAACTTGGCCATTTGAATTAATTTAGCCAATGGGCTACCACGCTTTATATTGCAGGTTGAGTCTTCAGTAGGAGTGAGTGGAATAGCAAACCTTGAGTGTGCACTACGTCCTCCGGGAAGAAGAAGTGATGCAATCCCACTCGATGCAACATTCAACACTATTTGACCTCGTGACCTTATTGCTGCTGATAAAGTTTTCCACACATATGTTTTTCCAGTGCCACCGTGACCATACAAAAAGAAGACACCTCCACTCATCCCGTCAATAGACTCCATAATTTTATCATAGACACTTCGTTGTTCTTCATTCATGTTTTTCAATAATTTTGCATGAGTCTCAGCCATAGCAGATTTGTCATACTTCAACTCTTCATGAATTATGGTGTCTTCAATGGAAGGAATATCAGATTCAGGTGGCATTGGCATTCCCACAAAATCTCGTAGTGATCTGCACCTTTTCCTCAACAGCTTCTCAATTTCGACCAAGCAATACTTTTTCACTTCATCTGTGCTCAACTGATACTCTATATAGATATATTTTATTATTTACATTTGTAATATTATATAAACTCATGCACAGAGACTTAGTTATAATTAAATCAATTAGCCATATAATATCCCATTGAAATAAATATTTTAATTCATTTAAGTATTTATTTAAACAATCCATAATCATCTAATAAATAACATACGTGTTCATAGAACACGATAGAATAATTTTCATATTTAATGTATGAAAATAGTGTTAATTGCAGACTATAAAAATATGTTAATAATTTACATCCTAATAGAATAAAATCATATTATAAGAATAAAATATAAATTAAAATTGGTACTCTATATACAAATATTTTATTATAAATATTTATAATATGATAAAAATTCCTTCACAAAAACTTAGTCAGAAATGAACCAGTAAATTTAGTTACATACCAGGGTCATTGAGATTCCTTCTAATGTTATAGAGTATATCCTCTGAAAAGTATTGCCAGCACTTCTCCCATACCAATTGTGGCTTTGACAACACATCTGACAGCAGAAGAGTAACAAACAAATTACGCAGTGCATATGCTGATGCCCAATGACTTGCCTCAGTGATCCCATCAATATATTCCTTATCATCTTTTAGCAATCCACGGGCGTAGCAAGCATCCCTAAAGCTGGGAAATAATGTCCCATTATAAGTGCGCAACTCTTCAAAGGATGTAGCACCCTTAACAACATTCAGTAACGTTCTCAAATAGAACTTTTCTCCTGCTCCGGGACGTACAAAAAACACGCGACCAATTGAAAAGCCCCTTTTCCTTGGCACCCACTCCTTGGTTTTTTGTTTCCAAGTAAACTTAGTTGGAAACTCAACGTATGTCAACTCTCGTGCCTCTGGATATTTTTCATTTGCCTTCATCCAAGCCAAGAATTTTGTGTCTTGATTTGTGCATTTTCCAAGAACAGATTCCACCGGTTCATCCGGGTGGTAGTATACTGGTTGCTCGTCTGGCAAATGAAAACTGAGACGTTCCACTGACACATCACGATAATGGATAGGATACCCAAATATTCTCCATGCAGCCTCACATGCCGAGATGTAGCGACAATCGTAGTACATTTTAATCTCGTCAACTTGTTTGTTTTTGGAGCCATCCACTGCTTCGGAAAATTCAACTGTGATACGGTCGTCACCCTTATTTATGTACTTGAAAAGATATTTGACCGACCTTGTTTGGTTACACCACTCAACATTTATGTGCGCACCATATTTCAGCAGCAATGTACGATTATGTGCAACCACATATCTATTGTCCAGATCAACCCCATTCTTTGTGACACTTCTCCCATCAGGTCGCCGTCTATAAACTGGATAGCCATCCCCATCAATGGTGGTTTGCTGAACAAAACGTTTCGGGAAGTGTTTTGTGCAAACATTTTTCTCCATGCATGGTGCTGACTTGTTTGCTGGACCGCAAGGACCGTGTATCATAAGTTCTTTGACTGCATTGTAATAATTCGGGTCAGACTCCTCATCAGGTATCTCCGCGGATATAATCTCATCAATCTCTGAGGGTGATATTCTCCTGCCTTTTTGATTTACCCACAAGACAATATGGGCATGAGGCAAACCACGCTTCTGAAATTCGATAGTGTAGACAACTGCATGGACAAAATATTGTGTTAGATGTCAATTATAAATGAAACATATCATATATTAACATGTATATTTTTTTATCATGTAGTTTGATTTTATAAACTGTTACAACACTTACGTTGGAAAATAAATAAATATTGGGATATATAAAAATTAAGTATTAAAAAAATATACTCTTACCATGCAATTTAGATCAAATTGAAAAGTCTAATATTTAATTTAATTGAAAAAAGAACTAATATTAAAATTGACAGAAGTAATACATGTTTACATTTAAAATTTAAGTTAGTTATAGTAAATTGAAAATAGTAATATGTAAAAGGATATAATTATTACCCGCTTTGACATCGCCAAATATCTTATTTTGCTTCAAATCTTTTATTAGTAGGTCCAACTTCATTTTAAATATCCTACAAAGGATGTCTGGCCTGTCTTCTGGATTCAAACCTCTGTCAGTAACAAAGCGCATAATCTCTGGCCATTTAGGATTACATGTGAATGTTATGAATAACTGTGGATATCCTGCCCATCTACATATCGCCATCGCATCTTGATAATTCTGCATCATATAACGTGCGCTCCCTGTGAAGGAATTAGGTAGCACAATCAATTGACCTACCCTTGATGCATTAGTCTCGCCCCGGCCAACTGCATCAGCGAAGCCACTGTATAAGTCACTTCTTAATTCCTTCTGATGCTGGCGAATAAATTGCAATCGAGCCGATTCCATCATTGTATATCCGTCCACCAGAAATTGTTGAAATAAGCGTTTTGATCGCAATATGAATGACGTTTCATTATTCCGGTCTTGGAGCCTATATGAAAAAAACTCTTTATGTGTCACATGCTTCCTTCCTCCCTCCGTCGCACGAGTCAATCTAACATCCTCTCTGTATCCATCTTGACCGTACGGGAATAATAAGGGGTATTGCAATCCCAAAAATGAAGGGTTTAACTCTGTCATGAATTGAAAAGCTCCTGACTTTGTTTGAACGACAACATCTCGCTCTGCTTTGTTCACATGGAAGTCTCCTTCAATAAGTGCTGCCACTTCAGAAACGGCGGGAGTATTATAAGTCCGACCGTCTGTCTTTCTCTTGCCTATGAGCCGCATTTTTAGTGTTGTAGAGTTAGATTCATTGAACCTATCCCTTGCCATCCGAAAAGACTTAGCATGGACGTTATGTGCATCGAGCATATCTCTCAAATCATGCACCAGTGTATCATCCAATGCTTTGTCACCCTCTTTCCTGTGAAGCAATATTAGAGTTCTTAAATACTTGAATGCTATTGTTATAAATTTAATGAAGTGATGAAAATGCGAAAGCATTTTGGGCATATATTTAAATCTTCTCTTATATGTTTTTCATAGCACCGCCTAAGATCTCGCCATGTAAAAGAGAAAAAATGAGACGGAGTATGCTATTTTTTGCTAATGTTTAATTGAACACATATAAATAAATACACATATATAGGGTCAAGTACGTAACCCATCTCTCCCAACTAAGTAGATAAGAGATTTCAGTAATTAATATTTCTGGAATTGATTTTTTCTAATTCCGGAATCGATTGTTCTGTAAAATATAAGTTTATGTTTTCCCACACTTATATGAATATGTGAAAAGATGCAAAATCCTAAATCCACATTAGAATACAGATTTCAATTAATTATATGAATAATTTTTTGAATTTTAATAAATGAAATTTACATTTTCAGAACATACATTAAAATATTTATAAAATTAAAAATTCCAAGTTGGACATTAAGTAAGAACTTTTTTCGTAATTTAGTGAATAAAATGAGTCTATTTAACTAAAAAAAGTCAATTTTGCAACTCGTTTTAGGAATGATTTAAAATCAGTCCATTTTTTTCATAAACATATTTACTACTTCGAGAGGATTTTTTTTCAAGTTAACATTTTTTTTGTCAACCAATATTAATGTTAAATCATTCGTATTGATAATTAATTGAATTCTAATAATTAAATTTTACATTTTCAGAACGAACTTCAAAATATGTATAAAATAATAAAAACAAAATTAAATTTTAATTAAGAATTGTTATTCTAATTAAGTGAATAAAATGTGTCTATTTGATCCAAAAACTAAATTTTGCACTTGAAGTTTGGATAGACAAAAAAATTCATAAACATGTTTACTAATTCAAGAGAATGTACACATTTACTAACCTCACGGCTGATATTCGGTGTGCAACTTCTTCAGATGGATCTGATAAGTACATTTGTAAGAACTTTGGTCTTTTTCCCTCATTCGGGAGGAGACTTCCAATTCTGTGATAATTTTGACCATTCAACCGGAATATAGGCGGATTGTTTCCTTTATTTATTTCATGGTCTACTTTTCCACCCATTGATGTGAATGAAAACATTGAATTATATGATCTGATATTTTCAATGAAGTGCTTACTCCGTTTGTCCTTGCCAAATATCAAATCTTCCAAAAGCTTGGGCGGTTGTTGCATTTTAGGAAGCACAACATTTCCTTGATTGCAACAGAGTGTGAATTTTGGCCTTTCTTTGACAGACGACCTTTTGACTCTTTCTTCATGCCAAAAAAGAGCACCACAGTATTCACATTCATATATAGAATCACCAAGATCGATGTAACCTGACAATTTTTTAAAGCATATCGTGTTCAAAATTGTTTTTTACTGTTTATCGTTGAATAGTAGAAAAACCACAATAAAACAATAGATGAGTTTTTTTCCTTAATATTGCATGTGTAAATATTTATAAATTTATTACTTTGAATACCTGGCTGAGGATTGGGAACACGTCTATTTTGACGATCAAGAGGAACAATAGTGACATCACGGTGCTGAGCATGAGTCGCCGTAAAAATACTTCCGAGACGATTCCCAAACGTATAAATCCCAGGAGTAACTATAGTTCGCAAATAAATAAAATTAGATATGGTTTACAAAATAAAATAAAATATTGAATGTGCAAAATTGGTTTTGAGAGTATGTATAATTTGAAAAACTTAATAATTCTTACTTTGAGGCGCATGATTGCTGTCAGTATCCTCGAGGCCTGACGATTGTTCTGGTTGTCTTCGTTTGCCCAATATAATCGTAGACTTGGTAAGCTTCTTCATCCACAAATTCCCTTCTAATTTAAAATGGGGAAGGCAAAACAAATTAATTTACAAACTAAAATAAAATATCGAGAATTTTTTTTTTGAATATTTAATGTATGATAAAACTTTAAGGCACAAACTGGTGATGATAAGCTTTGAGGACTTTTTTTCATATAAAAGTGTTGTGCATGTGTCAAATCTACTCATATTTAAATACACACACATATTCTCATTAATTATATTCTTGTTGACGTATTATCGGCAGTGGAAGAATCTATATGAGGTCACTCCGAAAGAGTTTATATATGCAGATAACCTAGGTGATTTCAAAACTGATTAGGAATCGATAACTAATTATGAGGCAAAGGAGGCAGTTTTCATATATAAGTAAATCAAGAATTGCAATTATTATAGGGGATTAAGAAGCATGTGTATTGCATAGTAATTCATTTAATATATATAAATATACATTGTGAGAGTATGATTTTTATATATAGAGGTTTTCCTAAAATATTGATAATAAAATAGGCATGGAAAAAAGATGTGATTCGATAATTTATAGACTATAATTGTGTTTAAAAATTTATCATAGTAATTATCAGGAGCCCAATAATACAATACTACGTAGTATTATATAATATATATATACACACACAGCAACTTTGAATATAATGTTAGTCATTCAAAGTTGCCCAAGTCATATTTTTTGTTCATCACTTTTCTAGATAGTATTCTTGAATAGTATGTTTGTATAGTAAAAAAACAATGATAAAGGTAATTAAAAACAATAAGGTAGGATAAAATATACGCAGTGTTTATAACTAAAGTAAAGGTCATAACATATACACTTCCATATGAATAAATAAATAAAATATTAATATAGTATCTAACACACAAAATGAATGAATAACTATGTACCTGGATTTGTCAACTTGAAGTGAATCAAGACAAAAAGTTGATTGTGACTTGTGTAGAATTCCAAAAGAGAAGAAATACATAGGAAGTTGAATATGATGTGTACTTTGGTCGTGACTCTTGCAGAAAGAAGGGCAGCCGCAAGGAGTATACGGAATGTAATACTTCGTACTACTAACAAAGAAACATAATCACATAGATTTAGGGCTGCAAAGGTTTCGGCCCTATTCTAATTTCAGGCCTTTGTTCTCGCATATTGTAATACAAAAAATTGGTCTGTTCTGATCTGGTCTAGTTTATTTAAGTCTGATATGTATGGTTTTAATTTCAGGCGATGAAGTCTGAATTTGTAAAGTACAACAAACTAATTTTACAAATATAAATAAAATATAGAGCATAATGTTTAAATATTTAATGTATGAAAATTTTGAATGCACTAAAGTAAAAAGATGCATGTTAACTGTTACATTATATAATTGCTACGTATGAAAAAAGCTTGCCTAATTGGCTAATACGTAAATTGCTCTTTAAGAAGAAATCTACGTATGGGTAAACTACCTAAATTGGGTAATCTACATTATAGCCTAATAATAACTATACCGACTATAGGGCTTAAAATGTTGATTTTTTTACTTAAAATGTTTTTAATTGTGTTGAATTTTTTTTGGTCTGTTTCGTTCAAATTTGTGTTATGTAAGTCTAGTTTGGTCTGATCTGATTTTATATATTTATGGTCAATGTGTTTTGTACAACTGTTGAAATCAGATTTGGTTTGATTTGGTCTTTAAAGTATGGTGTAATCTTTCAGTCTGTTGTGTTCTATTCCATGCTTGAATTGAATATTTTTTTACATTAAAACGGTTAAAGTATAATGAATTATTTCAAATTCAAAAAAAAAATATGGAGAATCAGTTTTTCTAATATTTAATGAATGATAAAACTTTAAGGCAGAAACATATGATGATAAAGCAACAGATAAGTAGTTACCTTGAGATTCTTGGGAATTTGTTTTAGGAATTGATAAAAAAGATCATTGTGCCTTGGATGCCTTGAACCCCTTGGTGTTGAAGGCAGAAGAAGAGAGCTACGTACTATACCTATTCCTAGGGGATTTCAAAACCGATTAGGAATCAATAACCAATAATGAGGCAAATTAGGCAGTTTTCATATATAAGTAAATCAAGAATTGCAATTAATATAGGAGTATACGGAATGTATACCACATACTACTAAAGAAACATACTCGTATGGGGATTTGGGATGCAAAGATCGGCCCTATTTTATTGGACAAAAATGTGACTAACAAGAGTTAATAAGCCTATGCCATATTAAAAATCTGTATGTTAATTTAGATGTTTTAATTGAAATTTAAGACATTGGTCTGTTCTGATCTGATCTAGTTTATTTAAGTCTGATATGTATGGTTTTAATTGGTGTGATCTGGTAAATGTTTGATCGTATTTATAACTATTCAAGTCTGATTTAAGGAGAGTGGACATCACCGACACCCTCCAAATCATGCTATTTGGCATTTTTTTTGCTTCTTATATACGCTCATAAACTATCCAATAATACTTATTGTGAGAATTACCTAATATCATACTCTCGTATTAGGTAATTCTTATTATATATACATTGGTCAGATTCGTCATTCTAATGGGCAGCAAATTGCAATATTTATTTATGGTTTTGAGTTTGTTTCCATTTTATGGAATGTCAACATTAAGTATACATGTTCAAATATTGAGAAAAATTAAGGGTTTTCTTCAAGACTGAAATTTGTTGATCTGGTTTGATCTGATATGTTCTAGTAAACGTCTGGTCTCTGTATATTTTATAAATATGAAACTCTGGTCTGGTTTGGGACTGAAAACAGTCTAAAAGAAAACATCCTAACACAAAATGCGTAAGAATATTACTCATTGCCCTAACTAAACCCACAATATTGGATATACCGCAAGAGTTTTTTTTAAATATGACCACTTATATGTAATTTTTTATGCCGGAACTTTAGGTAATACAATATACAAAAGGAATTATAGTTTTTATGTAGCATTGTTAATAATATGTATATAAAATGGTAAGAATCACAAAATCGATATTTGCTTTGCTTACAGAAGCAAAACTTGGAGCTTTCTTAACTTAGCAAAAAGAATTGAGAACCGGTTTTGAAAACAGAATTTGCTTGGTACACTACAGCAAGCTTGGTAAGCATACTTGGCAGCAGTATATTTAGTGTACTTCTAGCTTAACACCATTTTCATTATATATAAGCAAGCTATTACTTCATAATCAGTATGAAATCCAAATTATAAGCAAAGCACACATAATGATTCAAAATTTAATCAACGATTGAAATCCAAATTATGTAATAGGTAAACAAAACTTCAAACCAAAGCAAAGTCAGATACTATCCAAGAATAAAAACCAAACAAAGAATTCTTGTCAAACGAATAACTGAAAATTTGTCATGGCTTTTCAATTTTCACTGACTTCAGTTTCTTATTAGACGATCCTTGTGTTGAGCCATCGTCATTAGGAGTTGATGTTCCTCCTCCAAATTTTCTACGTTGTAAAACTGAATCTGGAGTATCAAGTGCATCCTTCTCGTTGTCAGAAGTAATCTGCAATAATAAAAAAAGCTCAGTTGACAATCATGTGTCAATTGCTTATCATAAACCTCAAACATTATGCAGAATTTCCTTTACAATTCAAAATCACTAATAGTCTAAAATATATTATCAATCATACATAAGTATGGGTCATAAATAACTTTGACAGAACCGCTATGATAAGTTACACTCTTTAGAGAAGAATAATTAAGTTTTTCGTCATAAATTCAATAAGAAAAGTTTTAAATTAGAGAGTAATTATTTGAAGTAATCTAATATAAAAGAAAACCTAAAAGAATGCTTAAAGAAGTTCTGTTACACCTGTAACCTAATAAATTTATTCACTTTTTAAATATATATATATGGATCAGGGGAGGCATCTGGGACAGTTTATTTTTTCAGGTTTTGATGTAATTTTTTATATTTAATTCATTCCGAGGATGATTACTTTTCAACGCACTTCATTTTGGATTATTGGATCCCTCTTGTACTGTTATGGAAATTCAGTAACAAACGTAATAGAAAGTATCTGTGTTAAGTGTTGTTTGAAAAGTAACAAAAGTTCAATAAACTATTGTCCAATTTTTCAGAAAAAAGGAGATCATTTTTCAAGTGTAAAAGATTTTCAACGGTAAAACCTCAAACCTTTTATCATATCCTGAATGTGGGTACTACGTATGATTAACTGAATGTCGAAAAAATCAAATTTGAGCTACTGCAATGAGAAGGTAGAAGCATACCACATTTGAATCTACAGTAGTCGGTCCGGTTTCAAATAGCAATTCGAGATCTTCATCAGAATTGTAAGCCTGTTCATCTTAAGTGATTATTTTGAATGGAAATTGGAAAAATAGGAAAGTAATATATTCATTCATGTATGAATAGCTATATATATTACCTCGCCAATTGATTCTTCAGTTGTTGCATTTTTTATCTCATATATTTTTTCCTTGTTTTGTGAAACCATACTTATGACGTATATTCTTCCAGCACTGCCAGGAACCGAATCTGCACGGTTAATTTTGAATAGATACTCTTGTCCAACCAATTCATTTATTGCCTCAGGACAGCTTTTTGTTCTACGATTATCCTACAAAATAAGAAAATATAAAATGTTAAAGTTATAAATAACAGACAAATTAACATCACCAATAAAAATGGACTTAATTTATGGTCTACTTCCATATTAACCATCCACTACCATTGGACAATTTTCAGATTTTTAATATTACTTTTAGTGCATACTGAGATGTTACATACTACCAAAATTCATATAAATATAGAAATGTAGAATAAATAAAATAAATACTGTATTTTACCGTATCTAAATGTTCAGTAAAATCCCCAGCAACCTTTCCAAGCAGTTGGCGTGCTGCATCATCCCAAAACATGACATCTACAAAATGCTTTCCGTGCCTGACTTTGAGTTTCAATGTATATCGCCAGATGCCATTAGGTCTATGTATCCCACACTTTTCACAAACATAATCTTCATTCAACTTCTTAAAACACTTTAACTCGCTGCATGCAAGGTAAGCCCAACCCCGTGATGAAATTATTGAATATATCTCAGCATAGAACCAACAACCACGCACCTGTCACATTTGCAAATGATATATACCAATGATCATAATGTAAAACTTTAAGAGAAATTCATCTAAATAAGAATAATGAATTTGATAAATTAAGCACATAACGCTTTGCTTAAATTTAAATAATTTTTAATATGATTTAAAAATTATATAGACTTAAATTTTAGTATTTACCTCTTTCGTAATGGATAGCTCTGAAAGTGCTCTAGTGAAACCAAAATCATCAGAAGTGGAGGCGGATGCATTAGATGCGCCTGAAACTACGCTAATGGATGGCGATTGTTGTTGCATCATGATCATATAGCTTCAAGAAAGAAATCAGTTCAAAATTATCGTTATCGAAATAATTCAAATTCCAGTTTGAATGCAATTGTAAATATGTATTGCAAATTCTATTACAAATAATATATACCGCTCTCGAAAATCATCAATATCAGGAATGTGATCATCCAACAACAATTTTGTGAAATGTAATGCTGAAGACACACCCTTTGTATCACCGGCTGCATTAAATCATGATGGTCATTTGCTTAAAAAATGTAGAATCTATTTAAGACATTGGAATATAGAAAAACCACTCATCAGAAGTACCAAAACGTTTGTTTATTCGTCCCAATTGCAGGAGCACGATAACAGGATTTTGCCTGGGAACTTCTAAGAACCTCAAAAATTGAGCAGAATAATCACCCCACAATGTGCACCAAATTTTAATGTTCCTGGATGTAAATTATAAACTAATGATTAAAGAACAATAAAAATATGCTTGTTAAATTATATATTTAGTAATTAAAATTCTATTAACTGTAGATTGGTTATCTGAAATCTACACCAAGATTTACTGAAGTCATCTGGTTTGAATAGAGCATCATCCGGATTGTATGCACCCATGACATCTACAAAAACGATCAAATTGTTAAGTGCAGATTATATGAAAATTGTAAAGATGTTGAAAATCTAGCTAATACAGTTGTTGTGACTAATACATACCCAACAAATTAGCACCCACTACATCGGGGCCATTAATAATATCAGAAAACTCTGTGATTTTATAGACGCTTTTCCTGAAGTAGTCATGCTTCTTATCTTCTTGGTAAGCGATTTTTGTATTATCTGTGAAGAACAAACGATATGGATGGGGAGTTGGCCTCCAATTGCCCTGATTTTCTTTTACTTCAAAGTTCTTTATTGCATACAATTTTCCTTCTTCGAATTTATCTTCAAGCTGCGGAATCAACTGGAGCGGAATTGTGGCTTGGATAAATGTACCCTACATTTGAATTAGGTGTCAGCTTTATAAACAAATTATATAATAGCTTACAATGCCAGAAAATGTAAATTATCTTTGAGAACACACTTTCAATGTCAAACATAATAGTTAAACAAATATAAATACATATTAGAGATTGACAGTTAAGTACTCCTGGTAGCTTCTACTTTGAAATTAGAACACAAATAAGCTACACAGATGATTCTGCCGGAATGAAGTGGTAGTAACTAAACATTTCCCATCCCTACATCTTATTATATACAACAAATAATGAAAAGAGATCTTATCTTTCATCAATAATAAGATATACAGGAAAGTAGTGAATAAATGTACCCCCAGAAAAGAAAAAAAAAATTAAAAATTTCGATTATTCTGCCACCTAACAAAGAGTGTGTTAAAAAATGCAAGTTTTTAAAAAGTTATAGTTTTAGTTTATGAAAATGAAATGATGAACCGATTTCCTTTTCTAAATTGAGATTTTGGAGAGCAAGTTACTAAACTAATTTTTATAGAGGACTCAGAAGAAGAAGAAGATTATGGATTTTGTTAACAAATCAATCAAATAATCAAACTATATCTCTTTGGTCTAGAAGTGAGTCAAAAATAAGAGAGCTATGTTAATGCAATGGTATTAATGAGTAAATGGCCCTTTTTTCCTGAGGTTTAATTTAAAAGACCTTAGAATTAGTAAACTTTTCTCTCATGGAACTGGTAGAGAAAGTACTTTCTGATATCATTTTTTTATTTACTCCAGGATGGCAGGATTCATGCCATGTTCTCTTGTTACTTTTTAAATACTTCGTTGCATTTAAAAAAAAATAGAATTTGTTTACTAATTCACACTGCAGCTTATAAGACACAGAAAAGCATCTTTATTTTAAAGAATTGATAAAAATGGGAGGTTTTCCAATTTTGGAAGCTGTCAAAACCAAAGGGCTAATTTCTTAATGAAACTGCTGAGTTGGTTGTTCTTAAAGATTTCCTTAGTTAATACTTCTGTCATTCTGTGATGCTTTGCAGCCAATTTTGGTGATTACTTCTAAGTGCAAGTTGAGATGGCTGATTAAATTGTTGGTTCTCCAAGAATATCTGCTATTGAGATGGCTGATTAAATTGAAGAATAAATAAGCTGGACATGCATATCATGTTTATATATTATCTGAGGAAAGACTTATTATTTGGCCTTCAAACTTTTCTGGACTATTTAACACAAATATAGATGTAATTTATTACCTCTTCGTCCATCAATACTAATTCAGATTTGGTCCTAGAAGGAGTCCATTTTCTGGCAACACGAAGTAGAAACGCAGCACGCACATCCAAATTAGGTGTGACATCCGAAAGGACTTTCTTAACTGGTGCCATGTCCTACACAAAAAGAAAACAGTAGCAACCTTCACATAATGGTAAAAATAAAGATGCATGTTTAAAATGATAAACTCGGTGAATGAATATTTAAAATATGACACGCTATCAAGTGAAAAATAAAAACCATTTAGGGCACAAACTGTGAGAGAGTGGGTGTACGATAAAAAAACACTATCAGCTTATATGACATAAGTTTTTAACATATTAGTAAAGAGTAAAACTACAGCTTTATCACATAAGTTTTAATGTTATCATTGTTTTTTTAGATTGTTTATGTAAAGAGGAGAAAGTTTTGTAAGATTGATGTAACACTTAAGATATAAGAATAATTTGATTGAACTGTAAATAGTCAACGATGCAATTTGGTAACAAATGGGATACCGAGAGGGATGAGAATTATGCTGATTGAACTGTAAATAGTTAATCATTTAGAGCAAGTTTATGGCAATAATAATACTCATTATGAGAGTTGGAAAAAACTGGAAGAATACTCCTGAGCAGTTGTTATAGCTGCACTTTATATATCCATATGGTATTCATGTGATTTTTGTGGTGTTTGTTATTGATAAAAATGCATATCTATTTAGTTCAATAAATATGTATTTATGAACTAATGCAAGATAAAGTTTTAGTAATGAAGTAATGCAAGTAAAATTTATCTTATATGCTCACAGCCTCACACCAAACTATAAAGTATGCAGTTTTATTGAAGATAGTGTAAAGACCTCTTACTTTATTCTAATATCACACCAGGTACATACTAAACTATTTTAAATTTATACTGCTAGAAGCCTAGAAAGTGGATTCTCTCAAGAGTGTTTCTCTTTTCGTTTTGATATCTTTAAAGTTTTTAGGTTAGATGTGATTCTCTCTGTTGTATTATGAAATTACTTTAAATGTATATTACTCCTTAGCTTGGATGATAATCTGCAGTTAAAAGGGAAAGTAAATTTGTTTAATGAATAATATCTGTAAAGATCAGTTCTGCCAGCCCTTTAAAACTCAGCCCAACTGCACCAAAAACTCAGCCAATCTCTTAATGCAGCAAGGTTTGAGAATTACCCCAACAGGCAAGGTTTAAGAATAATTTGATTGAACTGTAAATAGTCAACGATGCAATTTGGTAACAAATGGGATACCGAGAGGGATGAGAATTATGCTGATTGAACTGTAAATAGTTAATCATGTAGAGCAAGTTTATGGCAATAATAATACTCATTATGAGAGTTGGAAAAAACAGAGAGAGCAAGTTTAAGAATCCAGTAATAAACATTGTTAGAGTTGAAAAAAGAGAGAGGTATCCTTGTAAATTTTAAACGTATACCTGTTGGAAATTTGCCTGCAAATAGAGAAGAATGAGAAGGGCTGTGTGGATTTGCCTGGGTGTTAGAGGTCGTGGGTGTATATATATATAATATAATAAAGACGGTAATTAGGGTTCGATGGTATTAGGGTGCATAGATTATATATTTAAGGTTAATTAGGATTCTGAGAATGTACGTTTCCTTATGTATGCACGTTAAATTAGGGATTGCCTCAAATCATCGATTATGTAAATAAATATATAGGTTTAATTTTTAAATTTACAAACCTGCCCTTCTAGGATTACCTTTGCGTTATTTCACCGGTGGCTCACACGATCTGGAGAACATCAATTTGAATCTACTATACATGTGAAGCAAAAGACGAAGAGGATGATATTAAAAGAATATAATGAAATATAAATCTTAACATGGTCACAGCATGCTAAATCCAATGGAATTGCATATTACCCTTTGCGTTTCTAAACTGGAAGAATATTCCTGAGCGGCTGTGTTCTGAATCAAATTGGCAGATGACAGACGAAGCTTTGTTTGAAATTGATGCGGATGAATTTCTGCCCGAATTAGCAGATGAGAAGATGAAAGGGCAGGCGGCTGGCTTTTGATTCGAGATGGCAGACGGCAGATGAAGTGTTCTTTGGATTTGATGTGTGCGTCCATCTTCTTGCTTGCTTGACGGCGAGAGGAGAAGGCGAGCAGAGGGAATGGGAATCGGAGTTTAGAGAGGCGATGAATGGATGAGGAGGAGATTTGGGACAGAAGAAATGGATAGGAAAAGAACGGAGGAAATTTGGGGTAGAAAAAATGGATGGGAAAAGAACGGTGCAGATCTAATCTACGAAATGGACGATGAGGAAACGCGTATGGTTGCAGGCGGGAAAAAAATGTAATGCTTTTATGTATATATAGATTACATATCCAAATTGGATTAACGAGCTTACCCACTACATGTTATGCACTTGAGTCGTGAATGAGAATTGTGTCCAAATAGAAACCCCATATTTGACTACAAGTATTTTTGGAATACATGATTTTAGTTTATGTTGTATTCGGTCAATCCACTTAATTGTAGGATACCCTTTAAGTATATATGACTTAGTATACATAGACATTGTGGAACCCAGTAACTGATATATTTTCTCATTAGGGATACATTAACTAGTATATACGATTAGTTAACAAGTCGGTATGTAATAGAAATCACAATGTACCTCCGTTAGTATACATAAGGGTTACTTATATATACCCCTACATTAAGTCTAACATCTTAGACTTAATCCATTGATCATTATGGGGTTACTATATACCATAGTAACCCCTAATTGGTTCACAATTAGGTTAGACTAAATCAACACGACACATATGTTTGCTTACAACTCAGTGTGCAAACATAACTAAATCGGGTAATTGACCAGAATCATGTCAATTATGTCGGGCAAGACCTGATTGTATGAATGATTTTTATATTGTGTCCTATACCCATCTTGGCCTACTAAATCAACCGAGTCACGAAGATCATATAATTAGGTCTATGAGATACAATTAGTTTATACCCTAATGTTGAATATGGATAAAAACACTCGAAAGTTAACTTGTGCATAGATCGTTTATCCTAGTTTATTATCGTATGGATAAACCCATTGAAATCAATTGTGTATAATGTCAACCAATTGACGTATTTTACTCATTCGGTAAACTATAGTACGGAGTACCATATAGTTTATAAATTTTCAGTCATAAAATTTATAGCATTGGGTAATTTTGAAGTAAGATAATTATGGGCCAAGTTATTATTCCGAGTATTTGGATTATCTAGTAATGGTTCTTATCATGGTTACGAGTCACGTATCCACGTTGATCCGGGTAGAGTAGAAAAATTAGTACTTGTCGACTGTATTATGAGAATTCAGTTGAGTACTCGGTCAAATATATTCGTCTAAATATCAAGCACTTCATTTAAGTTGTATCGCCCATAAGATTATTCACTCAAGTATGTCCCACAAAAAATACTATGAGCCCACACTCATAGTATTTACTACTGTTATACATAGGTAAATTGACTGAATCACTCGGTTGATTACCATTAAAGTATTAAACACTATTTACATGTATTGAGTAAAATTTATGTTCATAGAACTATGAGTACATAGTTCTTCAAGGGATGAGTATACAAAAATTACACATACCTATCTCAAGTTTTGAATACGACATCGTATGATATATCTCAATTCGAGTAGCAATGGGTTCCCTATGCAAAAATACACAATTCTCATTCACGACTCAAGTCCAAATTATGAATAGAAAAAAACATACAAGTCTTCACTGTTTTCAGACTTACTAAATCAATCGAGTCTATTTAGAAATTATATTTAATATCCGATTGTAAACATACACTGTTGTACCAATGTTAATGATTCAATTGGTATGTGATATCATATGGGATATCATATACAAGTATATTATATTACGTTCATATATGGTGTAACGATTTAGTGTAATCCATAATCGTACATATGATATCACATACCAATTGAATCATTAACATTGGTATACTTTCTATGGTATGTCTGACAGGCTCATAACATTTCTCGGGAAGAGGACACCATTTCGGTTGATGTACTAGTATAACTTGGGACATAGAAGTGCCCTTTGCTGATTACAGGCGTACATAACATCGAAGTTTATAATACATGGGTTCATGTTTTTCTGACATATAATTGCAAAATTGACTGAATCAACTGAGTGATTCAGTCAATTTACCTATGTATAACAGTAGTAAATACTATGAGTGTGGGCTCATAGTATTTTCTGTGGGACATACTTGAGTGAATAATCCTATGGGCGATACAACTTAAATGAAGTGCTCGATATTTAGACGAATATATTTGGCCGAGTACTCAACTGAATTCTCATAATACAGTCGACAAGTACTAATTTTTCTACTCTACCCGGATCAACGTGGATACGTGACTCGTAACCATGATAAGAACCCCGTATACAGTGACACATGTTAGATGTACCAAAGGTATTCCGTAACAAGGATATTTATACTTGTTATATATCCAACCCTAATATATGATTTAGTCAAATTTATGGTGACTGTATTAAGTTCATCCGATATACATAGCACGTGAACTTACATCTAAATGATGTAAATCTATTGATATTAATCAATAGACGGATTATAGGTATACAACGTAGTCAATAGTAGAACCCAAATGATATCATACGGTTAAACATATTATATCAACCGGAGGGTCAATCCTACATCATGTCCCAAATTGACACTCATGAGATAGTTATAATGTAGCTGGTAATGTCAAATTTCTGACTCGTTGTATATAGGCCATAAGTATACATATATATAAATACCCTAGACGTAAATTCATTAGTTAACTTATATGAGATATGGTGTTTATAAGGTGTATTGACAACCAGTCGAAATATTTAGTAAATATTTTCACTAAATCAGAATGTAATGCGTATCAATCTAGTATCTGAACTACAGTCCGTAAACATTAGGGGGAATTTGACTTTGCACCCCACATTTGGGATTAAATTGGACTTTGCACCCCATTTTAAAAAAACTTTGATTTTGCACCCCATTTCACTTCAAAATCCTTTGACTTTGCACCCCATTTTGAAATTTTCCTTCACAAATTTTAGATGATAGAGTGCAAAGTCAAATGTTTTTTAAAATGGGGTGCAAAGTCCAATATCACCCAAGAAGTGGGGTGCAAAGTCAAATTCTCCCTAAACATTATTAATAGGTAACCGGATTAATATATATTTAAAGATACACTATTACCTAATGAACATTTCTCATTAGGTACTTGACTATATTGTTTACCCTTACTATAGTTGTATGATAATCCCCTTGTAGTATATACATATAGTATATCTATTACATTTCCAATCACTTTTAATATGTACATTCCGAGTATAACAATTTTGTGAAGCCGACCACATCAATATATTACATTATTGATATACATTACCAATGTTACAAATATTGTCTATAATTTAGAGTTATGATGTAGATAAGTTATTGATATTTAATTGACTAACAAATATATCATCAGACTATGATAAAACTAATAGTGCTAAATGGGGAACACAAAATGATGATATACTCGGAAATAATAATGCTCATATATATGAGCTACAAAGGAAATGGCTTGTTTACATACGTAAAAGGCTTGCTGCTTCGTTAGCAGAGAGGCCATATATATACACGGTGTCTATGTAAGTGGTACATAAGAAGTATGGGCTTATGGGTCCCACATTAATTATTTAGTGGTAAGAGATAAGTCCTAATACTTCCCCTGGAGTGTGAAGATTATGAACACCCAACTTGCTCCGTATAAATTGAAATTGATCAGTACCCAATGCTTTGGTGAAAATGTCTGCAATCTGATTAGTTGTAGAAATGTAGCATGACGTGATTTCACTGCTGGCTACGCGTTCCCGAACGAAGTAACAATAAATTTCCACATGTTTAGTGCGTTCGTGAAAAACTGGGTTAAGGGCGATCTGTCGGGCGGCCTGATTATCACAGTATAGTGGAGTCGGGTTGTGTTGCGGAAGCGTGAGGTCACGGAGAAGGAAGCGGAGCCATAGAATTTCGCTAGTGGTGACAGCCATAGCACGGTATTCGGCCTCAGCGGAAGATCGAGAAACGACAGATTGTTTCTTGGTTCGCCAAGAAATAGGAGATGTACCAAGAGTAATGATGTAGCCTGTGCTGGAGCGGCGAGTTAAACAACAACCAGCCCAATCAGCATCACAATAACCGGATAAGGAATAATTATCGTCAGAGGAGAGAAGAATGCCTTGTCCGGGTGTTTGTTTCAGGTACCTAAGAATACGGTGAGCAGCATCAAGGTGAGACTGGCGGGGTTTACTCAAAAGCTGACTGAGTTGAGTAACCGAGAATACAATGTCCGGACGAGTAACAGTTAAATATAGCAGTCGACCGATTAAATGTCGATAAGAGGGGGCATCAACGAGTGGGGTGCCATCATCGGGTTGTAATTTTAAATTTTGCTCCATGGGGAAGAGACTGGGACGACCTGCAAGTAGGCCGCTCTCTTCCAAGATGTCAAGTGTGTACTTGCGTTGACTTAAGACAAATCCGGAGGGAGAACGTGCAACCTCGATGCCATGGAAATATTTGAGTGGGCCCAAGTCTTTGATGCTAAAGGTAGTATCCAAATATTTCTTTACCGAGGTAATATGAGGTGCATTATTTCCGGCTAAAATAACGTCGTCCACGTATATGAGAGCAAAAGTGTGAATAGGGCCACTTTGAAAGATGAATAATGAGTGGTCCGCCCGAGATTGACGAAAACCAACCGCAATAAGCGCATGGGTGAATTTATGGTACCAATTACGTGATGCTTGTCGTAAACCATACAAAGATTTGTGTAATTTACAAACACGAGAGTCACCATTTTTAGTAAAACCCTCAGGAATGCACATGTAGACATCTTCAGATAAGTCACCGTGGAGAAATGCATTATTGACATCAAGCTGGTGAACAATCCAGTTACGCTTGATAGCAACCGCTAATAAACAACGAACAGTAACAAGCTTAGCAACCGGGGCAAAAGTCTCGTGAAAATCAATCCCCTCTACCTGCGTGAAACCTTTTGCAACA